AGTTTATCAGTGAAACTTATCGACACACTGCTCGCTCTTCGTGCTTCTAAACTTCGAAACAGTGATTGGACGCCTAGTAAAGAGGGTTGGAACTTAAATGTGAGGGTGTGAGTGAATGGGTGGAGTGAGTGAGATGAGACACAGTACGCAAAGAGAGCGCCGTCGGCACGGCCCGCCCGACCGCCCCCACAAGACGACGCAGCAACAGGTATAGGAAGTGACACCTCAGCCTGTTGTACTACAAACGTCATCCACTCAATGTGGATCAGCGTTGTGAACAAACAGCGCTAATCATGGGCCTCCCTCAAGTCCGACTCAAGTCCCTCAGGTAGCTGCTGCTGGCGTTGTCCTCGCATGGCGGTGGCGGCCCTGTCGGCCTGCCGGCCCTGTCGGCCCCCAACCTGAGCAGCAGCAGCGCCGCAGCACCGGCCCACTGATGGCCCAGATACGGGCGGCAAACCAGGCAAGGGGCGAGGTGGGGGCGAGGACATGTCAAACATGTAATTCAGGGTTGATGGGTTTCAATTACCAGATAGACATCGCCTTGGCCCCTGGTCCCCTGGCTGGAATGTTTTTGTTGCGACGCTACGATGGTGGGACGCCGCAGTGACTACACGCGGATCTGAAGCCAGTTTGTTCTAGAATCTAGTTCAGCCATGTTTAGTTATGTGGTGGTTTGTGTCCCCCGTTCCTCGAGCGATTTCGCTTCAGTTGCGGTCCGCCGCGTCGTGTTGTGGCAGCGGATGTCCACCAGCCTACCGAAGTCTCCGTTGGGGTCTTTTATGTAATCCAAAACTAGGTTCACCCCCGTGCCGTCTCCGAGCCGCGCCTCGCGCCCCCTGCAGCTCGCCTTGCTCCGCTCCACCCCGCTCCCGGCAGCTCATTCTTTTTCCAATGTTTTCATTTCTTCAGAGCAAACCTGCCAGTCGCAGCCACCCACTGTGTCGATAGCTGTTCTACGTGTCGCAGCAGCGTAGGGACAGACTCATTTTATTTCCCCGTTCGTTTTTATGTTTTGTTTTCTGTAGAAAATGAAGAACGAGCACAGCAGCACGATGTGATATTTCAGACGGACATGGCCGTCGACGGCCGAGTCAAGCCCATTCCAAAGTATTTATTTATGTTAAAAACCGGTTGAAATTTTTGTCAAGTTGGCGAGAAAAGTGTTTTATAATGTTGCCGACCCGTGAAAAGAGCAGGAAAGAAGTCAACAGACAAAGTAAAAAAATCTGTTTAGAAAATGGCATTTTTGCAAGATAACCAGCAAAGAGAGCTTATCAACAACACGATGATCAAAGGATAACGGCTTGGAGCGAATCATGCTTGAAGCACACCTGTCTCCGGCACCCTGCCCCCTCCCCCCTTCTCCCTTTTCGACTCACACCGACACACACTCACACACACGCACACGCACGCATGTACGCACGCACACACTTACAAACACGCACACATGCCTCCTCCAATATACACACAAGGCGACCCAAGAGCCGGCGCCCCACGGCGGCGTTTCCGCGCCAGTGAGTCCTTAGGCTGTCCGGGGTGCGGCTGGGCGGGGCTTGGCGGGGTGGTCCGAACCTGGCGGCGAACTGAAAATATTACATGCACTGTATGGATGCCGGCAAGCGCAGTAAGGAATGAAAGAAAACTGCAAACCGGCAGCCTCATTCAAGCAGGTTTTTCTATATTCTAAGGGATTTGAAACGCTCGCGGTCATACGAAGTTGGGTGTCGGTTACTTAACAGCGCCCCGACACGGAAAAATAAGAGCATTCATGGTATACGCTGTGTTTCCCAATAAATGTTATTAATGATCTTAACTCAGGGTTTTAAGTTTTGAGCACCAAAGCCTCAAGGAAACAAATTGTTACCTGTCGCAGCCATCAGCTATAACATGCCATCTTTTTTCACTTGATACGTGCTTATCGCATTACACTCTGGTATGTTAATAAAAACCTGACGAAGAGATTGGATAAGGTCCAAACTGCAAACTATACTTTGTTCGCAGGGTTATTTTCTTTGACACCTAACGCAAGCTCAAAATACTTAGAAAAAAAAAGACATTTCTTCGCAAAGATCTGAAAGGGTAGCGTGGAGACTAGATCCGCGAGATGCTCACCGGTTGGGTGCTGGTTTATTTTCAAAGGCATGAAAGGAAAAACATCCAACCACCTTTTTTGCCCGAGGAGAAACTACAGTAGAGTGTTTCTTCCATTCTTTTCAGGAACCATGCAGCCAGAAAGCCTGGATAAAAAATTATCCACTGCGGCCGGGGACCATCTTACCCGCGGAATCTCTTATGCAAAACGTTTACAGTTCAACGGTTCAAATCACAGTTTCACACTTCGCTCCTCAAGCAGCACGGTGTCCGGCCCAGTTGCCGGTTGGTTTGCTACTGCCCGTCCGGCCAGCTCCAAGGCCCCCGCCAAGCTCGAGACATCGTCCGAGCAACCTAGCCAATAGTCGTACTTTGCTCCTAGGCAATTATTGCTACGTTGCTCCAACTTGATGCTGATTCTAGGTGCAGACCTATCACTGTCAAGCTTGGGTTTCATTTATATGCCCGAGCCCATGATGCAGTTTAGAGTGGAGTTGGCAGGACACTGAGTTGAAAGACATGGAAGTATCCGACTAACTTCCAATGTCGCCCCGCATGCAATGCCACTGCACTACTTTTCCCCTTTCCTTCTGTGTTTTCGTGTGTGGCCAGTTGGTCATGCCGTCCAGCCAACCGCCTCCTTTCAGGAAACCCGATCCTTTGGTGGGGCCGCAGGCTGCGCCGCGTCCTTCTTTTTGGAGCGGCTCGGCACGACATGGCGAGGAGAAGACCAAGAGGACCCTACCGGTGCTGAAAGGAATGAATATGTCCCGACCGGCCGGCCGGGCCAGGCAAGGCCACCGCCAGGCTGCCGAAGCCGTCTCGCTACGGACCGTCATAAAAAGATGCGTGTTTGGTAAACACGTCTGCAATCACGCGGAAACTGACGGGCTACCCCCCCCCCCCCTTTTCCCGGTTCGCCTCGCGTGTCAAGTGCTACATCATCCCCAAGTGTTGGCAGCATCTGTGGCGCTGCCGGCCCGCCTGCCCGCCAGGCTACTCCAGGCCAGCCAGCGCTATGCGCCGCGATTGGCCGCCAGATTCGTCCCCTCCCCGACGGTCCCCGACGACGCGACTAGTAGTATCGAGTTTCCCAGACGACAGACTTGACTCGCCTGTCCCATTTTGGCCGCGCTCATGCTGCACAGACTGCAGGCGGGACGGCCTGTCAGCTGGGCACCGCGCGCTATGGACGGGTGACGGCGGCGACGGTGACGGCGGTGGCGGTGGCGGTGACAGTGATAGTGACGGTAACGGTGATGGTGATGGTGAAGGTGACGGTGGACGGTGACGTGACGGTGATGGTGACGGTGACGGTGACGGTGGCGGTGAAGGTGACGAACGGTGACGGTGACGGTGGCGGTGTCGGCCACGGCGATGGTGCGATGGTGGCGAGTAGCGTATCGGCCTGCCGCCGCCCCGCCGGAAATAGGCGCGGAAGCGACAAGCCCCGGCGGCCCGGCAGCCTCGGCCAGCCGGCAGGTAGGGTGTAGCTTGGCGGCGCGGCGGCGGCGTGGCGGGGTGGCGCGAGACGCGACGGGACGCGGCGCGGCGGGCGCCGTGATAAAGAAGACCAGCTCTATCCTGCTTCCACACGGCTGCGTCGAACCCTCCAGCCCCGCGCCGCAGACGCGGGCCCTCATCCCACACGGCGGCGCCCCAGCCTGCTGGACTCCAGGGACTACCAGCAGGGCTCGCTCTGTCTCTCTCTCTCTCGCACGCGTACGAGGCGCCCCGTGAGTGCGACAGAGACAGAGCGTCCGCTGGCCGAAGTACTCAGTCTTCCATACAACCCACCCAGGCGACGCGGAGGGCCACTCGCACGCGGCGCGGCGCGTCCATGTGGTTGTTGCGTTTGCGGTCTAGGGTGGCGGGGCGGAGAGCCAACAAGCAGAGCCCCCTCCCCCTCCCCTCCACTCCACGCCAGTCCGCGCCACGCAGGTCAACAGCCACGTGGGAAGGCAATTGGACGGAAACACCTTATTGCTCAATAAGGCGTCACTTCATTTGGCCCTTTTTTAGCCCGGCCAGCCTCAGCCTGGCCCGGCGCGACGAAACTCGCAAGGAATGCGTGTTTGTGTGTCACTGAGTGATTATTTTGAGTGACTGGAGTCGCTGCTGCCGACACGCCAGCCCCCGATGAGGAGGTGTGTGGCCCCTCTGTCGGTGGACCTCCGCGGCGACGCATTCACTTGTCGAGTGGGGTCGTCTGAAGACGCCACAGTTTAAAATTACCCGGTGCGAAGGCTTCAAAGCAGCCGGTACAAAGGATTTACTTTCTATGCCATTCATTAAGAAAGCCAAAACAATGGGTCAGAGAAATTGCACCTGTCTCAGGGTCTTCCATAACGTACCAAGAAAAACATAAAAAGTACGTAAACCTTACTTACTTAAGTTTTTTTTTATATTCTGAGAGATAAAGGACTAACCCTTTGAAAGTGGTCTAGTATCACTTTTCCAAGAGCATCCATCCACTCCGTGCATTGCTGCCTGCAGCAAGGGGCCTACGTGCACGGGGCACCCGGCGCGCGGGGTATGTCCCGTTGGGTCCCGTTGCTACCCCTTGCCGCCACGCCGCCGCGGCGCTGCGCCGCCCGGCCGGGGTCCGGCGGCTGGAGTCGGTCCATACAGCCTGGCGTCGCGGCGCGTCGCCTCGGCCGCCCCTCCCCCCGGCGCTGGTTGGCTGCCGGTGCGGTGGGCCCGCCGCCATTGGTCGCCGCTTCGGCCCCGCGGGTGCGAGGGAGAAGCGCAGCCCGGCCCCGGGGTGCGAGCGAGTGCGAGCGAGACGGCGCGGCGGCGGGCCTGGTGGTGGGGGGCAGCGCGCCGGGCCGCGCCGGGCTGCGCCGGGCCCACCCCTGAGTGCGTGGCGGCGGCCCTCGGCGCGGCTCAGTCTGTCGTGGTGCAGCGCGCGGGCAAGGCGTGTGCGTGTGTGTGTGTGTGTGGGCGCGTGCGTGTCGCTGCCGCTTTCGCCGCTTTCGCGTTGTGTTGCACCGAGGAGGCCGGCAAGCGCCATGAAGCGAGTGACAGTGCAGTGCCTGACCGGACTGTCAGTGTAGTGGAATCAGTGGATAGTGTGCGTCGGCATGTGTCTCCGGCAGTGAGGCGAGCCGGCACCCATCTACCTTCAGGACCTTGACGGATTTATTCGAGTGAGTAGGCTGTCCTGCAGGCGCAGCGCCGGACCGGCCGGCCAGGCCAAGGGCCAGGCTCGGACGCGCGTCGCCCAGCCCAAGCAACGAGCTGTTATCGTGTTGTAACAACGATTTGCTGTCACCTTTTAAAAACGTGTCCAAATCAACCGCAGTGCCGGCCAATGGGGTTGTTGCTTGAAAGTTGACGGATCCGACTGGACTGCTCACACTGCAGATGATGTCAGGCGGCCGGACACGAAACTAGCCGTGGCTCAGGACATCGGTGGGAGATCAGTTCGTCCGCTGCCAACGACACTACCCTTTGCTGGGTACCAGGATCCAGTGGCGGTCGCTCCGGTCTCGGCGTTGGCTCGGCTCTGCCCTGCCGGCGTGGGCTGCGTCTGAAACCACCAGCAGACTTTTCGAACTCTCTTTGTCACTCTGTCTCTCTTGCACCCTTACACGACGACCCACGAGTGCGAGAGAGACAGAGTGAGGAACGCAGTGCTCGGAAAGAGTCTGCGGCGTGTTGGCGCGCTGGCGACCTCTGCGACGCTGCGACCGGCGACGGGCGGCAGCCCTGCTTTGTGCCTGGCCGTCCGTCCGTCCATACTGGTCCACACGCCCGCAACACCCCTCCATCTGCAAAGCGAGAGTGAGAAGTGTTTGGCGGGGACGCACAGCTTTTGAAAAACAGTTTGCAACACTAAGAATCGATGCAAGACGTCGCCGAGCTGAACGGGGCTTCTTGGCGCTGGTCAAAACGCACAACTGTTTACCAACTGCCAGCCGACTGGAAACAATCTTGCGCTTTGCAAAAACCCGGTGATGAGATTGAATACACCTTGTGACAAATTTGTACTATGGCAGGTAACAATATTGTCACCAGTTTCGGTAATGCACAAAATCGTTTCCAGTTGGTAAAACAAAATTGTCTATACCCACTAAATTTTACTGTAAAATTTTACACTGGTGAATTTTTTCACACAGATTTACACGCGATTTCGTTTAAGTTTGTACGCAATTTCGTTTAAATTTGTACGCAATTTCGTTTTAATTTGTGCGCAGTTTCGTTTAAACTTGTACGCAATTTCGTTTAAATTTGTACGCAATTTCGTCTAAATTTGTACGCAATTTCGTCTAAATTTGTAAGCAATTTCGCACGAATTTGTGCGATTTTGCGCACAAACTCGCACGAAAAATTTCGCATCTTTAAAATTGTGTGATGCACAAAATTGTGCGAATACATCTGGGCCCACGCCCCCGTGGGCGGCCGCTTCGACACGGAGGCACTAAGCGCAAGCAGGCCCCTCCTTGCCCAGTGAGTGATGGTGCCTTCTGCCGGGTCAGCGCGGTCAGCGCGTGTCGACAGTCCGGTCAGCATGGCCCCGCGCGCCCCGCGCCTCGGGCCCTGAGTCGACCGCATACCGGCCGCGCCAAAAAAAAGCGAACGAAAGCAATTTTTACAATCCACCCTCCGTATTTCGCAACATCCCAACTTATGAGAATTTTGTAATTTTCCGCCAGGTTGGGGACATTGATTGCTCTGCTGGTATATCTGCGGCGTGCTGCGGTGGCTTGCTGGTTGCTTGGGTAGCTTGCTGGTTGCTTTTAACTTGCAATCCGAAGATCAGCCGACGATGAAGTAAAATCAGTTTCTGACGTAATTAACCTGAAAAACAACACCATTTTTGGCTGGGTGGTCGGTCAAGCATTGCCTTACCTCGGCCAGCGAGCCATGCTCCGAACACAGTCGTCAAAGGTTCTCTCGGTGGATAGGAGGGCCCGCTTTGACAAAAACGCGTGAAATTCTTGGACGGCTCCGGCGTGTCTGGCGTGGCGCGCGCCGGCCGCCCCGCCCCACTTTAATTTATGATCGATGTCACCGAGTCACTCGTACCCAGTGTGTCCCCCGTATCGGTGCCTGGAGTGCCTGGAGTGGCTTCCGAATAGAGGGGCAAGGGGCGTGGTCGGGATGCCGTCGCGATGCCGTCGGGATGCTGCGCGCAGTGTGCAGCGAGGAGCGCGGTGTCTGAGGCGGCGTCCTGCAGCGCGTCAACAAAGGCATGCCGGACGAGCCGCTGCAGCGCGCCGCTGCTCTGCATCGCTCTGCATCGTTCTGTCGCTCTGCGTCGTTCTGCTGCGTGGGAACGCGGCACGGCACGGCACGGCGCGGCATTGCACGGCACGGCGCGGCACAGCGACGCGAGGAGCCTCGTTAGCGAAATGTCCCACAGGGCAAGGCCATCTGGCCAGAGACAAAATTAACTCCGTTTCCTGCTATTTTGGATCCACCCCGAAAATCCGATTGAGATCAGAAGTAAATTTGGGAGGAAATTATTTTGGAAAGATACGTCACAACAAATCCAAAGGTCTGACTTCTCGCCACTCCAGAGGTGAGACATTAAGTCTCGCCAAGTTTTGGTCAGACCTCTGAAAGTCTCGCCAAAATTTGGTCTGATAAAGATAAAAAAGTCTCGCCAATGGTCAGACACAAATGTCTGACCGCAAAATGGCGAAATTTTTGTGTCTGACCAAATTTTGACGAGACTTTGAGGTCTGACCAAAACTTGGCGAGACTTTAAAGTCTTTAGGCGTGAAGTCTTTCCATCCAATTTGCAGTGATTGCACTTCGGCACATTCTGGTTCATGTTCGATTTTTCTTGTTTCGAGTGACGAGTTTTGCTGGGCGTGGAATCAGATTTCCAAATCGGTGCAGCAGTACACTATAAATGTTTTTGTACAAATTTTGTACGAAACATCGCAGTTTTTTTGTGCACAGGAACTTTCCGTACAAATTTGTACGCGATTTTGTACGAAAATGGGCAAAAAATGTGCACTTTTTCGCACAAAATTTGTACGAAAAGTTCGTGTGTACAAAAAACTGCGATGTCTCGTACAAAACTGTACATAACATTCAGTGTGAAATAGAGTGCCTGCTTGTCGCGGGTCGCGATATTGTCCCCCTTTCTCTGCACTTCGTTACTAAATATATGTGTTCCCTAGCGTCACCCAGCTAGGCCGGTGTCTTGGTCATTTTGGAATCACTCTCTTGTGACATGGGTACTTGAAGAATGACCTTGGCTTTATCATATTGCACTTGCACTTTTCTTTGAGTGCGAGAAAACGCACTCTGAGAAAACCAGCCCAAGTTTTTGCGGTCGAAAATGATGAAAAATTGCGCCGCACCCTGGAGGCAGCAGCAGCCGTGGCAGAGAGGGAAAGGCATTTCCAGGCGGATGTAGCGAACAAAGACACAAAATCTACTAGCTGATTGAGGGAGGGCGCCGCCGCGCCGAGCCACGCCGCGCAGCTTGCCGCCAGGGCGTCGGCGCGTCGCGGCGCGTCGCGGCAGCAGCCGAGAGGGGCGCAAATGCCGCCCGGCAGGCGCGCGTTACCGCCCTCTTGCCGCGGCCCGCGGCGGGACGCGCATTTTGAAAGCAACTTGAAAGCGCGCGCCGCGATGTTGTATTCAGGGCGAGCGCCTCGGAATGGCACTGCGCGACCGTGTGTGGGTGTGTTGTCTTGCAGGGCGGTTCGCGCGTGTGTGTGCCTGTGTGTGTCTGCGTGTGTGTTTGTTGTGTTACTGAGCCCGTGTGCAGGCTGTGCAGGCCAACGCGATGCGCACAATGGTGATATGGGAGCGTTTCGAAGAGGGAAACTAGAGAAACTAGGATCTGCCTGCACTGCGGCGACGGCGGTGAGGGCGACCCAGTGCCGGGCCATGTTGGCTCAGCAGGCGAAGGAGGGCACATGCACTCGGCACAGGTGTCGGTGTGTGCAAAGGTCTCTTACGTCGACAAGGATTGATACACGTGTTGGCCGTGGTGCAGCGCGCCCGATACTTTTATTTGCGCTCAATCTTTCACACGCATTAATTTGTTGACCCAGGGAAGTCCCTGATGACGCGAAAGAAAACATCCACTTCGATGTTGGAAATGTTTTTGTTCTTGACGGCGCCTTCTCCTTGTTGCAGGATGCAGACGGCCCTCCAGTCACACCCACATCACCTGGCCTCGACGCCGGGCTGGCCGTGTGCCGACGACCTGCAGCACAAGGGTGAGCGCCAGCAGCGCCAGCAAAGAGACCAACCGCCCAACCCACGACCAGAACCAGTCCCGAAAAAATGAAACTTTTGGCGGCGCGTTTTCGAGCAGGGCCGTGCGGCATCCTTGAGGCGGCGCTACTGGCTGCCGCTGCCATGCACCGCCATAAAATGACATAATAAACCGGCGGCCGGGGGGGGGAGGGGGAGGGGCTCGCGTGGGCGGGCCGGTGCTAAAGCCCCGCGGAGGGAGGCAGGCGTGGAGGCAGCCGTGGAGGCGACGGACAGCGGGGTGTGTTCCTGGACGAGGTAAAGCGCTCTGACAAATTGGGCGACGCAAAACTTGGCCGATAACAAATCAATAACCCGCGACCGTGTGTGGGTGTTTGTGCGTGTGTGTGAGAGAGAGAGAGAGAGAGAGAGAGAGAGAGAGAGAGAGAGAGAGAGAGAGAGAGAGAGAGAGAGAGAGAGAGAGAGAGAGAGAGAGAGAAGAGAGAGAGAGAGAGAGAGAAGAGAAGAGAGAGAGAGAGAGAGAGAGAGAGAGAGAGAGAGGTCAGGCAGAGAGATGGGATGAGGACGGGGAAGAAACCCAGGCCGAGGGCGTTAGGGAAAGAAGGAAGGACGCGCGTACATGAGAAACTACAATAACTCAGCGGCCAGGAAAAGTTTAAAATTATGATGGCAGTAAAGTGAATCAAGCAGGGGAGGAAGAGAGAGGAGGAGGCACGATAAAATACTACGCCGGCCAAGAAAAGAATTCCTGCAGGAGAGTGGAACTCCCTCGCCACCCCCACGGCGGGGACCGGGCGAACGAGTCGCGGAATGGATGGAGAGAGAGAGCGAGAGAGAGAGAGAGAGAGAGAGAGAGGAGAGAGAGAGAGAGAGAGAGAGAGAGGGTGACTGCTATTGTGTCCTCAAGAGACTGTGTCGCACTCCCTTCCCGGCCTCTCTCCGCCGCCATCGCTCTGAATATGGCGGCCCAACCGCTTTCATTTGGAGCTGCCTCGCGCCGTCCCGTCCCGTCCCGTACAGGCCGTGCAGTCCCGGCCGAGGTAGTTCGTACTCGTGGGGGTAAACACTTGGAGAAATCGTGTATAGACTACTCGGTATTACGCTGTATTACGGGGATATTACATGGGTATTACGGCCTGAAAGTGCAAATTTGCACATTTGTGCACATTTGACCCTAAAAAATGGTATTACGTCGATTACGTTCACGTATGCGTAATGCACACACTAAATGTTATGTACAATTTTGTACGAGACATCACAGTTTTTAGTGCACACGAAATTTTCGTACAATTTTCGTACGAAAAGCTGCACCTTTTTCGCCATTTTTGTACAAAATTGTACAAAATTTTGTACAAATTCGTACGAAAAGTTAGTGTGCCCAACTGTGATGTCTCGTACAAAAGTTGTACAAAACGATTTAGTGTGCAGGGTTTCCGTGTACAGGGTATTACGGGAGTGTTTACCCCCGTTCGTACTCGGCGCGGCACTGCTTGGTGTCGCCCCGGGCCCGGCACGGCCCCGGCGGGGTAACAAGTCCTCGGGGCGACAAACTGCACGTAAACGTCGGGCCGGGCCGCCGGGGGCCGCCTAAGGCCTCAGGGGGAGGATGTTGTGGGTGGGGGCGCGGCAGCACGCGGGGTGTCGCGAGGGTTGACTTCGGTAACTGTGCGGAATGACAAGTAGTGAGCCTGCGAGGCGTGGCGGGGTGGTGGCGCGTGGGGCGGGGCGGGGCGGGGCGGGGCGGGGCGGGGCGGGGCGGCACACCCTTGAGGCCCCAACCAGAACGCCCCACCATTTCCATCCCTTAGCTTCATTTTCTTCTTTCTTGTCATACTTTTCTTTCGCCAAAAATTACACTGCACCGTCAGTAACACTTGAAAACGGCTTGGATGACCGCCACGCCCCGCCACCCACGCCACCCACGCCGCGCGGTAAGCCGGGACTTAGCCCTCCCCGCCGCGCCACGCCGGACTCGTCCCGCAACAAGCGAGGCTCACGTCATCGGTCGGCCGGGCGGCGCGACAGGCGAGGACGGCGGGACGGCGGGCTGCAGCGGGCTGCAACGCCTCGCCGCAACCGCAGGCCGCAGGGCTCGGCAGGGCTCCGGACGGAATGAAAGTGTTTCGTCAAACGAAAGCGATACACTCGATTCGGCTTGGAATGCGGGGCGCATGCGCGGTGCAGGTGGACGAGCACGACGAGTGCGAGGGGTGAACGACGGGCCGTGTTACAGTGTGGACACTCGAGTCCGGCAGCCGCGCGCCAGTCGCACAGACGAGTGGCGGCAAGGGCCTCGCACCGCGCAGCACCGCGCAGCACGAGGCTGCCGAAGAGTGTCGCTTTTATATCGAGGCGGCACAATGGCCGAATGTAAACGGCACGGCGCGCAGTGTGCGCGCACGGCGAGGGGAGGACAGCGATCATCATCACTCCACACCTCTGCTCGTCGTCGGCGCGGTGCGGCGCGGTGCGCGGCGTGCGGGGTGTAGGGCAGCGACAACACGGGGCGGGGACCACGGGGACCACGGGGACCACGGGGACGGCTGCAAACACGGCGGCGACACGACCAGCAACACGGCCCAGCCCGGCCGGCCGGGGCGGGGGGACGCGACGCGGCGCGGCGCGGCGCGGTTGGTTTGGAAGGGTCGCCGCCGGGGAGCATCCTCCTGGCGGCCAGTCAGCGCCAACAGAGTTCCAGCGCCGTTCCAGGCGCGCCACTGGGACCTCCTCTCCTCGCGGCCGCCGAGGGGCTCGCGCGTCCGCGTCGTCCGCGTCCCGCAAAACGCGATTACGACCCGTTCTCTGCAAGTGCCGGCACCACGACGGCGTGCCGCGGCGTGCCGGCGGGGGTGTTGTCGACGCGCCGGGAGGGCCGCCGTCATCAGCGCGCTGCTGCGGCAGCATGCTGCGTCACGGTGCCGACAGTGGCGTCGCCGACAGTGGCGTCGCGGCGCGGGGTGTCGGCGCACTGCTAATAGCGCGGCGACCGTGGGGACCGTCGCGCAATGCCGAGCCGCATTTACACACCGATTTACGGCCGCGCCGTTCCGTCGACGCGGAGCCTGGAGGGGAGGGTGCGAGGGGAGGGGGCGCGGATCGCGTATACATATGTAATGAGCTCGTGGGCAGTAGCAGGGTTGTTTGTAGTTTTTGTCCGGCGAGGGGACGGCAGGGGCGGCATGGGAGGGGCTACTGCTGGCCGTGGCACGCCGTGGCCGCTCGGCCCAACCGGCCGGTCGGCAGCCGGTCAGATGTCAGCGGCAATAAAAAGCGAGGCTTCGGGAACGGACCTCGCGGCCGTGCGGTACGGTGCGGCCATCGCCAAGTCGACGTCGTCCACAATGCAGGCTAAGCCTGGGCCAGGCACGGCCAGCAGCTGGGGAAGCTGAGGAAGCTGGTCGCAGCTGCGGGGATTACGGGACAGTCGTTGCCCCGTGTGAGGGTGCGCTCCCGTGTATTTTGAAACATGGACGAAAACGCAAAATAACCAAACATTTTACAAAATATTAAAATGACCCGATCCGCGCGTTGTATTTTTATGTTCCCGGTCCTCTTTCGTTTTTTTTTTGGCGAAGTATATACCTACGTTACCTGCTCCACCCACACGCACGGGAGTCGCACCTTTCCGGGAAGGATGCCAATTGCTTTCATTCAGTCTATTTGTCGGCAGCGTCACAGGAGGCTCCTTCAAAGTAGACCATGAATGCAGGCCAGTGATCGGCGGCAATCATCAGCGTCACCGACTCTCTCTCTCTCTCTCTCTCTCTCTCTCTCTCTCTCTCTCTCTCTCTCTCTCTCTCTCTCTCTCTCTCTCTCTCTCTCTCTCACACACACACACACAAAATGTTTTTGTACAAAATTTTGTACGAGACATCACAGTTTTTTGTGCACACGAACTTTTCGTTCAAATTTGTACAAAATTTTGTACAATTTTGTACAATAATGACGAAAAATGACATGTGCAGTTTTTCGTACAAGAAATTGTACGAAAATTTCGTGTGCACAAAAAACTGTGATGTCTCGTACAAAATTGTACATAACATTTAGAGTGGTCTCTGGCTTAGCCATGAATGACCAATATTGAACACACAAATAATGTGTGTACAGAGCCGCGGTGCCAGCGATCCACAAAATGTTGCATCAGGGTGACGAGAAGGGGGCGCTGCAACTAGCGCTTCTTCCCCGTAGCCCCTTTATGGCATTGTGGCTCGTCGACTATCTGTCTCGCATTGTTCCAAAGCCCTTGCCTTCCTTGCTTGTCGCGCTTGTCGCCGTACCTGTGCCACTTGTTGTCGGCGTCCCCTTCTACGGCAGAGGGGACGCGGGACGCGCGGGACGCGGCCGCCGTGAAACACGATATTTTGCTATAAAACGCCGCCATCCACCTTGCTGATCGAAAAGGTCACTTTCTGTTCTTTTTTTTCCTCTCCTCCGCCGTCCGATCGATTTTCTCGCGTCAGTGACGCCCTCATGCGTCGCCTTGTTGTGGCGAATTAGCGTCAGTGACACAGTTCTGGTCGTGGTTCGGTGCGGAAAGTGCTCGTGTGATTTTGCATTGTTGCATCTGTCGTGTCCTTTTGTATCTCCTTTGAAACGCGTGTATGAGGGGACATGTTTGCCGGAACGAGAAACATGTAACGTACAATTTTGAGTCATGGAAAGATCCGACGGACAGTTTTTTGTTGTTGTTGTTTTTGTTTTTTTTGTGAAACCGAATGGTTTATCCATCTTTGCACGGCTCAAAATTGTCTCATTCTAACCCTAATTGGGGCTAAAACAAAACAGTTTTGCCTCGAGAGTGAAATGTTTCCCCTCCACAGCGCGCGCACGCGGTGAGGCGGTAGAGGACGCAGGGTCTGCAACTGCGTCTCTTTGTGTTCCCAGGACTCAGCTACATCGCGGAAGGTGCGGCACTCAAGTCTCCCCAAGCGGGGCCCGCCGTAAGCGTGGGGCTCTGGTACTTCCCTGGCTTACGGAGGGCCCCCCGGATGCCCCGGAGGTCGGCTCCCCAGTCGCTCGAAACAAGATCCAGACCGCATCTTTTTCCAACTGCCTTTTCTTTTGTAAATCAATTAAAATTCAAAAAAAAAACAACTTTTTAAAGTTTTAAGTTTGATTTTAAATCTGGCGCGATGCTTCTGGATTGGGCGGAGGAGCCTTCCTCCAGGCAGTAGCAGGGTCGGTGTTGACGAAGCCAGGTCTTAGCTTGGCTCACGTCGCTGGATCGCTCCCCTCCCTCCCCGTTCCGCCCCGAAATGACCGTCCGCTTTCCCTCTCCGTCGACGTGACGCCGTGACGCGCGGGGAATCAGCTGGGTGGCGTCTTTTGCCACCCCCAGCCGGCCGCCCCCGCGCCGCCCCCGCGCCGCCCCCACCTCCGGACAGTTTACTGGCCGAGGTCACCGCTCCTTTTATATTCCCGAGGCGTTGCGATCGAAAAAAAAAAGGAAAACCAAATCAGCGCTTTGCAGTGCTGGCGAGCCTAAAGAGGTCGCGCGGCCCGGCGCGGCAGGTGCGTTCGTTCTCGCCTGTTTTTCGTGATATTATTCCATTTTTTTTTTGGCAGTGCACTCTCTCATTTGCTCGGGCGCACTGATCCGCTGCGAAAGTAAGTCAATTATGACGGCGTGTTTGACGCGCGGGCAAACAAACACGCGAGGCTGCGAGTCGCGAACAACAGCGGCTAAGTCAATGTTTGCTGGAGGCTGCGGCACGGACGGCCTGGACGGTCTGGCTTATGCACACGCTATACGCGCTCCAAAACAGCGTTTCCAAAATGACCAGAGAAACCAGGTGGATATTTCCCATCTTTCTAGCCAGTGTGAAGTGAGCCTCTCCGACACTTGACTAGATTGCCAGTTTAAGCAACTTGGGACGCTGCGGGGAGGGTGGCTGCTGCCCCTTTATAACCGAAGCCAAGCCTCCCCTCCTCCCTCTCCAACCACCCCTCTCCCTTTTGAGCGAGCTTTTCAAGTCGATTTTCACGGCTGGGGTCTTAGTAGTCTCTGCGCACAACGCCATGAAGTGTTCCGCCAGCCAGGGATGCCAACTGCATTCAATTTGCATCGCAATCGCGGAGCGCGGGGCTCTTCACTAAATAAACCCATCATGTGTGGTGGTAAAATTGTGTTTAACGACAATGGCATTGTTGAATTCAATCGGCGGAACTGCAGGGTTCGGAACAGCCTATCATGACGTCATAGTCGGCAAAACCAAACATGAGCTTTTACTATAAAGTTTGGTTACATTATCCTCAACCCTATCACTTTTAAGTGAACAAAAGGGATATTACATTATTTCCACACAGCTGTAGCTTTCATTTTTCATGGAACAAAGTAACTAATGCGTTTGGTTTTGAAACGGAGTTTTCGGGATGTTCAAAGTTGGCTTTCCGAACTCGTGGTCTTGTGCGAGAGCTTGCGGACAGCCCTCGGACGGGCCGAGTGCACCTTACCAGGGGTATAACAGTCCCAGAATCGTTTCCGTCCCCAGATCCTGACGGGTCGCTTCCCGCCCCATGAGACTTTGGTGCTCGCGTCAGGGAATCGCAGTCATGTTTACCGCGCGCTGCAGGGGCCGTCGGACGCCCCTGTCGCACGGTGGGCCAGAAGACCGGTGGAGGCGGACAAAACTCCAGACGCGATTTGAGCTCCAGAGTCGCTAAACAGGCCTTGAACCGAACGTGTGACCCAACCAATGGATTCCTCGTTCGGAGAGCAATCCATTGGTGGGGTCACACGTTCGATTCGAGTCTCATTTAGCGACTCTGGAGCTCGAAACGCGCCTAGAGTTTTGCCCGCCTCCACCGGTCTTCTGGCCCACTGTGTGTCGCGCGGAGTGTCTGAGGGAGGATCTTAGAAACGCCCCAATCCCTTCCAGGCCACAGCGGTGTGAACCAGCTAGGGGGGGTGTTCGTCGGCGGCCGGCCCTTGCCAGACCACACCCGGCAGAAGATCGTCGAGCTGGCGCACTCGGGGGCGCGGCCCTGCGACATCTCCAGGATACTGCAAGTCTCCAACGGATGCGTCTCCAAGATTCTGGGCAGGTAAGTGCAGCGCAGTGTAGCGCGTTCTGGCTTTAGTTCCAGTCAGTTGGCGCCAGATCGCCTCGCACTCGTGTCAATTTTGTTACAAGGTCAGAAACCTGTCTGAAATCCTGGTCAAAATTCGCGCACCTCTAAAAGCTGAAAATTCTGAAATTCTGAAAACTTGCTCTGAAATTGATGACCTGAGTTCTACGGAATGTCAGAATAAGTTTTCAGCTTTCAGAGGTGTGCGAATTTTGATAAGGTTTTCAGACAGGTTTGTGACAAGATCCTCACAAGATTTACATACGAGTGTGGCGGCAAGACGGTTCCGTTTCTGACGTCATACGTTGGTAGGTGGTTTGATAGGGGGAGGACTGCGTCGCGCGATGAGGGTCGTTTCCACCCACAGCGGCGTTGCGCCGCGGCTGGATTTTAAGAGGGTAAATACACGGCGCATGTTAGGCCCCAAGTGGCGGGGAGTGTGAAATCGCCCCTGAAACTCGATCACCGCCGCGCGCCGCCTCGCCCCGCCGCGCCAATCTGGTGGGAACATTACCTGCCGCGCCCCGCCGCCCGCCCCGCCCCGCGCCCCCCGCCCCGCCCCGCCCCGCCCCCGCCCCGCCCCGCCAACAGCCGCGAAGCGACAGGCCTGCGCGCCGGCATTACTTGTCACTTCGGTTCACGGCGAGCGGCAAACCGACTCAGTACCCGCGGCCTCCGCAACGTGTTTCAATCCCCGGGAAAACGCCCGCGCCCACGAGCCCGCACACTACACTGTGCGCTACGCCCCCCTGATGCGGCCCGTACGACCCATAAAGGGTCGTGGAGGAAGTTCGGCGGCCATTCCAGTCTCCGGTGGCCCTCGGCGGCCCCGGCGGCCCCCTGTTTTGCCTTTCCCCTTTCTGAGGTAAACTGAAGCCGGGCCGGATGTATCCGCACGAAGCAGAACAGAGGCGTCTCAGCATATAAGCAGACCCCCCCCCCCCTTTCCCATCCTTTTCCTTTACCAGTTCCCCTACTTTTCCCTTCCACTTTGACGTCCCCCCTTCCCCTCGCCCGCGAGTCCAGAGCCATCTTTTCCACCTCATCGACTTCGGCAACGAGGGTTGGGGGAGGTACCGCTGCCGGCTCCGGCCGGCACAACGAGAGGCTCCGGCGGCAGCGGCCTTCCAGCACGCTGTGTGCCGCGCGCCCGGCGGAGGTCATGGAGCGAGCGAGACAGGCGTGCGACAGGTCCTCCCTCTTTCTTGTGTGACAGTCCAAAAATTCTTCCCGAGGCGTCGTTGCCGCTCCCTTTTTTCCCGAGGTGCAGGCGGCGGCTGGACGCGGCGGCGTGGCGGCGCGGGACGAGGGGCTGATAGGCGGTATATGGGACGTGCGGGTTTGGGCACACTGCCTTCCATACGCCGCCCCCTCCCTCCTCTCCCCCGAGACCCGCCCGGCGTCCCGGCGTCCCGGCGTCCCGGCGTCCCGGCGTCCCGGCGTCCACCCCGCCGGGGAGGGGAGGGAGGGGGCAGCTAGCTTTCCAGCCCGCCGACTCCGATGTTGTCACTGCAAGCGGCGAGACGCGACAGTCAACTCGCCGCGCCGCCCCAGGCCTGCCTGCCGCCTGCCTTGCCTGGCCGCGGTGCCAGCCACGCCTGGCCGCGCCGCCATGCGTGGCTCTGCTTGCGAGACGGTGAGGTGCGCGGCGCTCGGCGGCGCCCCCCGCGCGGCCCGGCTGGCGGCGTGGGTGGCTTTGTGTGCGCCATTTCCCCCGCGGGGCCGAGGCGGCCGAGGCGGCCGAGCAGAGGAGCGAGAAGCTAGCCGAGGGCGTCTCACTCGTTTGGCCCGTTCGGCGAGTGAGGTTCGCAACAAGGCCGATCGGCTCCGGAATGGCAGCGAGTCCACGACCAGCCGCGCCCCCTGCCTGCCGATCCCCGGGCCGCCCTGCACCATTAGGCACACGCATCCTCAGCGCGCCGCTCGGCGCCGTTCCAGAGGGCATCTCGCCGAGACGGGGAATCCAGAGGATGCCGACCGATCTGCTAGAGCCGTACGGCTGCGTAGCGTCACGAGGCCCTCGCAATCAGTCAGTCAGTCAGTCAGTTAAGTCAGTTAGTTACTTAGTCAGTCACTCAGTCTGTCAGTTTAGTCACTCAGTCAGTCACTCAGTCAGTCAGTTAGTTACTTAGTCAGTTAGTCACTCAGTCTGTCGGTTTAGTCACTCAGTCAGTCAGTCAGTCACTCAGTTGTCACTCAGTCTGTCAGTTTAGTCACTCAGTCAGTCACTCAGTCAGTCAGTCACTCACTCAGTCAGTCACTCAGTCAGTCGGTCAGTCCGTCAGTCACTTTGTCAGTCACTCACTCACTCACTCACGCACTCACTCACTCACTCACTCACTCGCTCACTCACTCACTCACTCACTCACTCACTCACTCACTCACTCACTCACTCACTCACTCACTCACTCACTCACTCACTCTCACTCACTCACTCACTCACTCACTCACTCACTCACTCACTCACTCACTCACTCACTCACTCACCCTCACTCACTCACTCACTCACTCACTCACTCACTCACTCACTCACTCCCTCACTCACTCACTCACTCACTCACTCACCCACTCACTCACTCACTCACTCACTCACTCACTCACTCACTCACTCACTCACTCACTCACTCACTCACTCACTCACTCACTCACTCACTCACTCACTCACTCTGTTGCGCCGGAACGACGACAGGTGGTGAGGTCGATGGGGCAGGTGGGGCGGTTTGGCCGTCGAGCCGCCGTCCGTATTCGGTTTCACGTGTCCCCGCGTTTGACGGCGCGGTGCGTCGCGGTGCGGCGCGGCCGAGGCGACTGGCGCCGAGGGAGGCGAGTGGAGCGCCGAACAATACGACACCGCGGGGGCGTGGCTGCTGGCTGAGGCGGCGCTCCCAAGATTTCGATATATATCGGGACGGGCTGGATTACACTTTTTACGCGCCCGAGACCGCGCGCCGGGCAGGGGCGGGCAGGGATGCGTCCCGGCGGGGGGCGAGGGTGGCGGCCGCGGGGGTGGCGGACCAAGGCGGCGGAGTCCCCCGCGGGGAGCGCCCGCCGCCCCTCCTCGCCTGGGAACAGCGGACGAAGCAGAAGGCGCTGTTAAAAACGCGTTCGGTAGGAGAAAGGCGGCGAATAGAAAAACGTTGCGGCACGAGGGTTATGCGTGTTTACAACGACCGCGCCGGCGGGTCACCGGCCGGGGCTCCAGCCGAGGCTCTAACGCCGCCTTAATCCACCGCAGGCCTAAATCCGTCCCTTCTCGGCTTTGTGCTGCGCTGTGCTGCGGCACAGCCTTTGCCGCCTCGGCCGCGTCGCGGACGCGTCGCCGACGTGTCGCTTTGACGGGACCCCTTGCCTGAGTGGCTGACAATGATACGCACCCGGTGCGAGGCACTGCGAAGCACTGCCAGGCACTGCCACCGACTCCAGGGGACTACACTGCGAAAAGTGGTAGGCCTTGCAGCGCTACCCGCGGTGAGGGTGGGGTACGGCCCGCGTCGGGGCTTTGAACACGCGCTGCCCGACCGGGCCGCTCCGCCCCGATCAGAAAGCCTTCGGTTGAGTGTCGAAATCGTCCGGGAAAACGGATTCGCCGTGTAATATCAACTGATTCCCCCCAAAGGTGTATTTACAAATGATTTCGTGCCATTGGGGGACGGCCCATTGTACGCGTCCTCTTTCATTCCTACAATACGCCGCATTTGTATCACCAGCTAAAAAGTGTTGTCGCTTCTGACGCGGAGCAGCGCTCCAGCGCTCCGGGGACTTGTACAATGGGCATATAGTGTGCCTTTTAGGACACATTTTATATACGGCCGAGTGGACGGGGCGGCCCGGGCCTCCCCTAAGAAGGGGCTCCGCGGTTTTGTAAGGCCCCCTCCCCCTCCCCCTCCCCTGCTCGCGCGCTCCCATCTCGAAATGTGTTCGAGAAAACTAATGTTGACAGAAAGAAAGACTGTTTGACTTCGGTGCCGGAAAAGCGGGGAAAAGATGGGACCGAGGATGGGGCGCGCGGGCGCCTCGCTGCCTCCGTGTTGCCGGCGTGTTGCTGACCGCGATGTTGTGCCGCAGGTACTACGAGACGGGCTCCATCAGGCCCAGGGCCATCGGCGGCTCCAAGCCCAGGGTGGCGACGGCGGAGGTGGTGGCCAGGATCAGTCAGTACAAGCGGGAGTGCCCGTCCATCTTCGCCTGGGAGATCCGGGACCGCCTGCTGCAGGAGTCCGTGTGCACCAACGACAACATCCCCAGCGTGAGTACACCCACCGGGCCCAGCGCCCAGTGTAGAGGCGTTAGGCCGCCCATGAAACGCCGTCAAAGTGTCCTCCGAATTATTGGCGGAGGCTCAATCTGCATGACTAGATGCAGTTGTGCAAATTAGACACGAAACAGCCAAACCAGGACGAATCAATGGGAAATTAGGAGGCTGGCTGGGAGGATACTGCCGAAAATCGGCCGAGATACTACGGACGTTGTGGAATGCCATGGCTTTGTCTTTATTTCAAATCAATGCGTGTTGCCCTGGGCGCTTTCTTGTTGCCCAATACTCTCTTTCACGCAGCAGAGTCCCCTATTCCGACCCTCCTTTTCGTCCTCAAGTACCTCTCCCACAACCTGATAAAAAGCATGAATTTTACATCACCCCGACGGGGAGGGGAGGGGGGCTCCAAACGGCCCCCGCAGAATATTCAGGGGCCGCGTCGGCGGGGCCGTCGGCCCTGACTCGCCCAGACTCGACCCGGTTCACTAATTCCCGCGACACACGTCTCCACCGCTCGACCACGGCCTGCAGACAGCAAGCGGGGCTAATTCGGACGCTCCTACACCGGCAAACGGCGCGCTTTACAGTGCGCGCCATTCATCATCCCGGCCACCCGTTTATCCATTCATTCATTACGCGTCGCTTCACTTCATTTTACTTTCTGGCCGCGCCGAGCCGCGCGGCCCTCGCGCCCCTTTCTCCTCTCTCGAGATTAATTTCACCTTCATTATGGCGTTTGATTGAATTTGTTTGGCGACAGCGGGGCGGGCAGGGCAGGGCCGAGCGTCTCGGGCACCGCCTGCCAGCCTGGCGCCAGCCGCCCAAGCCGCCCAAGCCGCGCCAGCAGACGGTGCCGCTCGTCACCTTGGCCTGCCTCGGCCCGTCCTTTGGGGGTCGCCTCGCCAGTCATCGACTTGGAGTAACGAACATTCCTCGAGACGGCTGGGCCGCCGCAGTCCTCCTCTCGCTCCCACTTCCTTCCTTCCTGCCCTTTCTCTTTCGTTTTCCTCGTTTTTATGCACTGCACTGCCCTCTGAAAAGGGAAAACGGGCGTTATGCCGGCCTTTTGTCTCGGTTTCGGGTGGTCCTGCGGGTTCGGGTTTGTGTCGTATCGCGATGTGCCGCGCCGCGTCGTGCCGCGCCGTAGCGAGCCGCGCCGCGCCCCGCCCTTCCGCTTGACTGGCTGCGCGGCGGACCCGACACCCAATCGCTGGTGTGGAAGGATCCCCCACCCCTTTCTCCCTTCACCCTCCGCCTCCCTCCTGAGTACTCCACCCCACCTCGCCGCCAGCCAGCCCACGCCGCCAGCAGCCGCCAGCCCGCGCAGCCAGCCAGCGTCGGGGCCCGTCCGCAAGCCAGGACGCCGTGTTTGCTCTCCCGGACCGCAGCCCGCCCAGCGCACGGTGGGCCAGAAGAACGGCGGAGGCGGCCAAAACTGTACACTTGTTTTGAGCTCCAGAGTCGCAAATGGTACCCGAACCGAACGTGTGACCCCACCAATGGATTCCTCGTTCGGAGAGCATTCCATTGGTGGGGTCACACGTTCGGTTCGAGTCCCATTTAGCGGCTCTGGCTGGAGCTCAAAACGTGTCTAGAGTTTTGGCCGCCTCCACCGGTCTTCTGGCCTACTGTGCAGCGCACAGTCGCGAACCACGCATCGCATGCTGGCCTGGCCATGCCGAGCGGGGCCGCGCCCTGCAGTGCCAAGCCAAGCCAGTGCCCGGGCTGTGGCGGCGGCCGCGCAAACGCCGCGCAGGTAGGCAACGCGCCGAGCACCGCCGCGCGCAGAGCAACTGGTTGCCTACCGCGGCAGGCGGCAGTGTAGACTACATCTCCATTTCTAACCATTTCCTCGAGGAGGAAGCGGTCGAGAGGGAGCTCCCGCAGGACACACATCTTTAATGCATGAGCGGGGACTGACGAGCCGAACGGGAGCGGGGGTGGGGCGGGCGGGGGCGTCAGCCGGGCCCAAGCCGGGCCCACACATGGGGAGACATTTTGTTGTTTCGGCCGTCGCCTTGTTCCCTGTGTGTGCGTGCGTGCGCGCGCGTGTGTGTGTGTGCGCTGTGTTGTGAGTGCGTGTGTGTGTGCGTGTGTGTGTGTTTGTGTGTGTGAAGCAGAGATTCCGTTTCGCCTTCGGTCCGCCTCCTTGATTCTGCGATGGGTGGGGGCGGGGACGGGGACGGGGAGAGGGCCTCCGAGTGGAGTAGTAGGTCTCCCTTCTAAGTACTCTGGAAACAAGGCGAATGTCAGGGCTTAAGATTGCATTTCAAATTTTGTGGAAATGCGGGGGGTGAACGTGCTGCGTCCATGGCGGGGCCAGGAGGGGCCAGGCGGGGCCCCGGCCTGTTGGCCAATAAGTAACGTGCTGGGGCAAGCTGGCTGGCTGGCTGCCTGCCTGCTTGCCTTGCTAATGCGTCGCCGCGTCGCCCTATAAAGAGTGGAGACGAGCACTGTGAGAAAAAAAGTCGTAATATTACGAACCATTCTTGTATAGTATTTTCCCACATTAAATTCATAATTTTACGAATAATTTCACGACGAATGATTCATTATTTTTATGAAACACTCATTATTTTATGAATGCTTCATTCGAAAAATGAATAATTCATAAACACCCCAAAACGAATGATTCATTCCCCAATTTTTACGTGACAGCATCACGAGCCATTCGTAATTTTACGAATGTTTCATAATGTTGTGTGAATAATTCATAATTTACGAATCATTCTAAATTTATGAATGTTCCATAAAGTTTTTATGAGCCATTCTTGTACACTATTTTCCCATTAAAAAATCGTAAATTTAGGAACAATTGAACGATGAAGGGTTCATTATTTCATGAATGATTCGTAAATCTGAATACCTTTCGGGCATTTTCAGGCACATTTTTCAACCAAAATAGAAAGGTTCATAATTGTTCATTATGATTTTTCGTAGTGAGCATGAAACGAGCCATTCATAAATTTATGAAGCATTCATCGCCAAATATGTCGTAAAATTACGACAACTTTTTTCAGTAGTGGGACGAAGATAGAGGATAGAATGGGGTGGACCAGGGTGAACTGGGATAGTCGCATCGGACTACGCGGGCAGGATCGAGTGGTGTTGCAAGAGAAGACAAAGATGCAGCAGAGGAACGGAATAGAAAGGATCCCGATGTAGGTGACGAGACTGTAGAAACAGCACGTCGCGCTGTAGGTGAATGGGAAGTCGCTGTCGCAACCAAGGTGTGAGGGAGAGACGGAGAGAGAGAGCCCACACGCCGCGCGTCGCGTAGCGTCACCATGGTGATGGCCCTCGTTCCCGTCTCTCGCGGTGGGTCGCCCGCGCCCGGGGGGTTGGTTGGTTTGGTTGGTTTGGTTGCAAAGCATGGAGCGGGACGGCGGCGGCGGGGCGCGGAGCGGGCCAGTGGCATTGTCACCCGGCCGGCCCGGCCCTGCTCCCGCCCGCTGCCCGCTCCCGCTGGACTGTTAGGAATGTCCCCGGGGACCGCGCGGTGGCGGCGGTGGCGGTGCGCGGGTGTGTTGCCTGTTCATCAGGACGGCCTGCAACAAGTGGAGCAGGCGCAGCGCCGCGACGCCGTCTCGCGCACCAAATTAAACTCCTCTCTTTTCTGTTTCGCACAAGTGCGCACTTGACACTGTGTTTGTTTGCCGTGTCGCGCGCGCGCGGCTCCAGTGCACCGGCCGTGCTTTCTCTCTCTCTCTCTCTCTCTCTCTCTCTCTCTCTCTCTCTCTCTTCTCTCTCTCTCTCTCTCTCTCTCTCTTCTCTCTCTTTTGCACACACATGCCCAGCACACAGAGGGGCTCGTCCCGAAGTAGCTGTCGTGTTTGGCGCCGCCCCGCCAGGCCGCAGCGTGTACACAGAGCCACCCTCGGCCGCCCCCGCCGCCCCCGCTGCCCCCGCCCCCGCCGGCCGCCTCGCCGCGCATACTGGAGCCTGAAGGGCCTCCCTCTTCGTCGTCGCGCCTCCCCTGACAAATTGGAGCACCTGCGAGAGGGCCGGCGCGGGCGGGCGTGATCCTTCTCTCTCTCTCTCTCTCTCTCTCTCTCTCTCTCTCTCTCTCTCTCTCTCTCTCTCTCTCTCTCTCTCTCTCTCTCTCTCTCTCGGACAGGAGGCTGAATGGTGCCTCGGTTTTGTTTCCACGACGTGTGCGTCGTGCCGTCCGTCCGGAGACTTTGCAAAGGAATGCGTGCCAACAACAATCGTCGGCACGCCTCACGCAGCGCTCTCCAGGAGATAAATTCTTTCATTTTGCTGTCGCGAATTTTGTTTACATACGACTAGGTCCGCCAGGTCCGCTGGTCGCGCAATGTAGTCTACAGCCATGGAGAATAGACGTCTATTCTCCATGCTACAGCTCCCAGGCTGGCCGCGCCGGTATCCCCGTGGTGGCCGTGGTGGTCGTGGTGGCCGTGGTGGTCGTGGTGGTCGTGGTTTGCGTACGGCCATGGTGGCCGTGATGGCCATGGTGGCCGTGGTGGCCGTGGTGGCCATGGTGGCCGTGGTGGCCGTGATGGCCGTGATGGCCATGGTGGTGCTGGTGGCCGTGGTGGTCGTGCTGGCCGTGGTGGTCGTGGTGGTCATGGTGGCCGTGATAGCCGTGGTGGCCGTGATGGACATGGTGGCCGTGGTGGTCGTGACCACTGCGAGGCTGGCCGCGCTGGCGGCGCTGCCTCGGCGCGGCGGGTGGCTGCCTGGCGGCGGGTGGCGCGGCCGAGCGAGGGGAAGGGGGAAGGGGAGTGAGGCAATCGCAGGCAGGCGTTTTATTAGAGTTCCGGCACGTGCCCCGCCGACTCGCCTCGCCTCGCCTCGCTGCGAAACTGACCACGCCGCGCGCCCTGCCCCTCGCCCTGCCCGAGGCCCGGCCCGTTCTCAGACTCGACTCCCCTCGCGTGGCAAATCAGCGTTTGCTTTCTACAAGCAATCGCCGCGCGCCACGCCGGTTCGAGTCCCGACGCCGGCGAAGTTTTATCACAACCTACACG